AGAGAGAGAGAGAGAGAGAGAGAGAGAGAGAGAGAGAGAGAGAGAGAGAGAGAGAGAGAGAGAGAGAGGTGGGATCTGTGTGTCTGTGTTTGCAAAGGCTGTCACATGTGCCCCATTTTCAAAGCGTTATTTCAGGATGCAAGGATTATGAGCGGGAGCGATAAACAGAAAACCAGGTTGCAAAATCACGAAGTAGCTCAGATAGAGAGCACAATGCACGAATATACCAAGTCAATAAGAGCAATACAATGTCGCCACACTCTGGTCACACCAACACGTATCCACTGGCCCTCCTACTGTCTGGCGCTCGGCACCCAGCCTACTCTACTCAGCCTATCTAGCCCATCTACGTTCTCACAGCCAGATCACATCGCAGTTGAAGACCAATGTACGTTGAGGTCATCGCCAATGCCGATCGCCAGCATGCACTGGGTACATGCTCTCATCTCCCCTCCATCAGACCTTGGTTCCCCTCTGCATGCGCCTCCTACCCGAAGACCACCATCGCCACCTCTTACACCCGCACATTCGGCCCGGCTATGGCCGCCGTGCGCCCACTGCCACCGCAGTGCCCTCCTCACCACTTAGCGGCCGCATGCGCCCCAGCCTGCCTGCATAGCGCAGCTTCGCACGACAATGCAGCAGTGTGGCCGCAATGCCTGCACAGGCCAGAATGTTCCCGCACTGGGCCAGTCACTTTCCTTTATGGAAAGTGTCCCCGTGTCTGGCTGGCCGGGCCAGGCGTGTGGTGGGGCCCAGTAGCTTGCCACTGGGCCCAAGCGTCTGCGCCCAGGCCCAGTTTCCGATACTGGTCTGGGCCCCGTGCAGTTGTTAGGCACGTTTGGGTAGCCACGCAGCTTACAAGTGTTCGGAGCAGTCTTATTGGCTCTTGCCTCATGTGTGACGGCAATGCTGCTTTCTCATTGGCCGGCGGCCAGTCTGTGACATGTCGGCCTCACGCAGCGTGTGCCGAGGGAGCAACAAATTGAGCCCTGGGCTCAACTGTACACAGCGCAGCCCTTGCTTCTGGAAAGAGCCTAGAGGCGCACGTTGCGCTGTAACCAACTGCCGTGCTGCAACTGTCTGAATCCCCACTTAAGGAAAAATGACGAAAAAATAGGCCTCTTGTGATATTCAGGCCCGCCTTCACTCACGGCGGGCACAAGGCTCGTAAAGGGGCCCGTGGCTCAGAACACTTGTATGTCAGATAAAGGGCCCCACGAGGGATCATTCCTCGCAAGGCCAATTTTAAATGGATAGTGCCGTCCGTGGACAGGCAACTCAGTGGTCAGGGGAGCCCAACCAATATTTTATCACTTGCCTATGACATCGATGATTCAAGCTTCAGCCCTTTCCTCCTTGGATGTCCCAGGGCCCCAAGGTAAGTGCCATCTCCCCCCACAAAGCACAAAGTGTGGATTACAGCTTCACAAGTGCAGGGTCCTGACAGAAAAAGTGCAGTGTTCTGACAGAAAGCAGGAAAAGTGCAGTGCTTTGACAGAAATGGTTTAGGCTCGGACCCCACCGCCCGGCGGCTGGAAAAGGAAGTTGGCCGCCGGTTTCTGGCCAACGTCAGTGGAAACTTTTTGGCACGATTCGTGCAGACCCCACCGCCGACTTCTGGCGGTGTTTCGGAAACGGCCTCGCTTGCCGTTTTAGGAAACCCGAGAGGGTCCCCTCCCGAAAAGGAAAGCGCGGACGGCCTGCATGGACCAGAGGACATGCTAGCCTCTCGGGTTGGCTTGTGCTATTTCGGCCTGGACCAAACGTATGTCTGTGACGCCCGTTCACTGCACCACTCTTCGCTGGCCTCCGATGCCAACGGCTGGCGCTTTGCCCTCCCTACCTTGTTGGAGGGCGTTTTGGAAAAGAGCGCCGGCCGCGGGCGGAGACTTTTCCATCCGCCAGCCATGTAGAAACACGGCTGGCGGTGTTTTGAAAACGGCGGTGGGGTCTGAAATCGACGTCGCCAGACCTCTGGAAAACTTCCTGGCGGCCCGGTGGGGTCCGAAAAYGCCCTTCCATGCCAAAACTTTTCCAGCCGCCGGGCGGTGGGGTCCGAGCCTTAGGGTTCTGACAGAAAGTGGAGGGGTCTGACAGAAAATGCAGGGTTCTGACATAAAATGCAAGGTTCAGAAATGGTAGGGTTCTGACAGAAAATGCAGGGTGGTAGGGTTCTGACAGAGAATGCAGGGTCCTGACAGAAAGTGCAGTGTCCTGACATAAAATGCAGTGTTCTCTCAGAATTTTCAGAAAGCACAAGTGCTGTGCTTTGACAGAAATGGTTTAGGGTTCTGAAAGAGTTCAGAAATGGTTTAGGGCTCTGACAGAAAATTCAGGGTGTTGACAGAAAGTGCAGGGTTCTGACAGAAAATGCAGGGTCTGACATGGAACTTTTTCTGTCAGAAGCCTGCAGAGGATTGGCACCTTTCTTTCAGCAAGCGCTATGTGCCATGTGGAGGTGGTTTATGAACATATGCCTCTGGAGTCTGGACTCTGGAGGTCATTGAATCTGGAACTGGTTACCTTAAACCACTAGTAGTACCTTTGCCGCGTGGGAAAATAGCGGGCCTCGGGTGGGCCTCCGACCTTTTCCGATGGCCGAAACGAAACGACCACCGCCGATCAGATTTATCAATGGCAGCCGTCGTCGGGCCCGGCCTCCGAATTTTCAGGAGTTTCGGAAAACTGCCAGTTTTCCCTAATTTCCCAACACTGGGCGAGGTACGAGTGGTTTAAACCACCAGTACCTCTCCCTGCTTGAAGAAATCGACACGGCCGTTAACGCGCCGCGTCG